GAGAGAGAGAGAGACAAAAAAAGAGAGAGAGAGAGAGAGAGAGAGAGAGAGAGAGAGAGAGAGAAAAAAAAAAAAAAGAGAGAGTTAGAGAGATGATCAGAAACGAGAAACACCAGGATCCACCCTCATCGACCCCTCCATGCCCCTAATGACATGACGAGGGATTGGCGACGATGCAGCAACAGAACTGACGGATGCGAACTCCCGTTCGTCATCGCCCTCGCGCATCTGGACCTGGCGTTCGCCGGCGTCTCCAGCGCGCGCCGCAATTGCCGCCCTGGGCTTGCCCTTGCACTCAGGGCCCCCGGACCAGTGGCCTGTTTCGTTGCAAGTCTTGCACCTCGAGCGTTTCTTGACCTCCTGGAGCCGCTTCTTGCGATCTTCCAGGGGAAGCCCCCCCTTGCCGCCTCCCTTGGGCGACCGGGGCGCGCGGTGGGAACCCCTGCCCCCGTTCTTTCCCTTGCCCTCGCCCCTTCCCTCTGCGCCAAGGTTGGCGACCAGGTCGTGTTGGGTCGCATCGGAGGCTTCTTCCTCCGCGCACCCAGCCTTGGTCATCTCGTCGACCACCTCGACGTCGAGCTCGCTGCTCTCCTGGGCGGGGGCCCAGTGGCCATGCGATTCCTCGTCGCCGCAGGTGCGTTCGTCGGCGCGGTCGCCCCAGGCCGTGTCCCCCCAGCCGTGCTCTGGCGCCTAGCTGGGCGCGCAGTGCCCGCAGGGACTCAGCTCCTAAGGGTCGCGCCCCCCCTGCTCGCGCCATCCGCCACTAACAGCGTAGAAAGCGTGCTGCGGCGTAGGGAAGCGCACCTTGCCCTTGCTCCTGTTATGGTAGCTGGGTCTGGGCTGCGTCCACGTCGAAGAATTGGGCGCCTTGCCCGTCTCATCCTTGCCATTTTGGCAGATGTGTACGCGGCCGTGCTGGAGGATCCAGACGTCCTTGATTTCGCCGAAGGTTGTCGCATTCCCTGTGGATGTCAACACCATCATATTCTCCGAGGGCGAGATGCCTGCATGGCCCACCAGGAGGGAGCCAAACACATCGTCGCTCATCAAGATCTTGGGCTCTAACTTGGAGGCAAGTTTCCACCAGCGCTTCCTTCGGGATATGCACGAGACCATCGACTCGCCGTTCTGCCGAGACAGTGGTCCCTATGGTCTCTGCCCCACCTGGAACAGGGTCTTCGCTTCCTGCACCTCTATGGGGAGAAGTGAAGTGCGAATCGCCAGCGCCAACTGATCGATCCCATTCGGAATCAGAACCACGTCCTTACCGATACCCATGGCAATATCGAGCGCGTCACCCCTGAGGCCTTCTACAACCTTGATGACAGCTGCGATGATCACGCGTCGTTGTGGTACACCCGTCTCTGGATCCACAGAGGCCAAGGCGGCATTCATGCGCATCTCTGTGGGGAATTCCCACTCGTGGAAGGTGTGCACCGCTCCGTCGTAGACGCAAGAGCCACTCTTCGTCTCAGACCGCGTCAGCGCGTCCGCGCTTGACCGATAGCGAAGAGAATAAGTGCCATGGTGCAAGGGACAGTCCCCTGGCGAGGGAAACTGCCAGTACGGAAAGTACAGAAAAGATAGTGCGACACTCTCTGATGAGACGCGCGCGCAGTGGTACGATACGGGGATCGTGTGGCAGCTCCGCTACAAGTGTGACTACGATGCGGTTTAGCACAATGACAAAAAGGGGCCCTTAGAGGCCAAACGGCAGCGAGTGGCGCATATACACACGTGACACACGCACTATCTTACAAAGGCCCAGGCGTGCAAGAGGGCCCCGAGGTACGCTCGAACTGGCCTTTGGAGTCTGCCCCCACAGATGGCGCACGATGCCTCCAAGATGCCCACGAAGAGGCTCTCCACGAGATCCCGTTTAGCCTCTTAGAGGCCTCGCGTCCAAGACCCAGGCCCAATGGCAGGAGGGGCCGACAATCACTGGATCCACCGCCTTCTTCGGCTTGCCACACGGGCATTTTGCGTGCCAGAACTTTCAACACCCCTGCAAGCAAATTCCTGGTTGCTTCCGGTCCGAAGCACCGGCCACTGGGAAGGCGCTCAGCAACTGCATCCCGTGGGCTTTTCCGTTCCGCCGAATACTGGTTCATGAAGACCTCCAAGACGGTCAATTGCACCACAAGCTGAGGCGGCGACAACTGCTCCACAAACCACGATGAAACATCCGGGAAGTTTTAGGCGAGCCCAGAATCGAATCGATAAGTCGGATCGGCGATCGAAATGAATCGGATCGGCGGCGATCGGCAGCCAAGTCGGGCGAGATACGTCGAATCGGCAGAAATCGGCAGGTTAGTAAACCTCTGTGGAGGAGTCGGAGCCCAAGTCGGAATCCGAAGTCGACCCGAATCGGAATCGGAAACCATCGAAATCGAATCGAGTCGGAGGAATCGAAACAAGCCCTGCTACTGTAAGCATCTATGATTCCTACCAGTTCTGGGAATTCGAGCTTGCGCCAACGGCCTGCCAGAGCAGCGCACGCTGCACCATTGGGGCAACATCTTCGCCTGGCGCGGTGCTGTCCAGAGCAGACATCTGCAAGCTCCTCGACGATATGGTTCCATGAGCAGCTTGTCTGTCAGGTTTCTGTTTTCCCCGAACAGTGCTTTCACTGAGGAGCTCCTACTTAGGTTTCTGGAGTCATTGGATGAGTTTCCACGGTTTTCCCCACGTTGGCGCCCGTGCCTGCTCGTGGGCGCCCGTGCGGCGGGTGGGACTCCCGGGGATTCCCCACGTTGGCGCCTGCGCCTGCTCGTGGGCGCCTTGTGGGCGCCCCGTGCGCTGGGTGGGTTTTCCCGACGTTGTGCCACGTTGGCGCCCGTGCGCGAACTTCGCGCGCACAACATAGCTTACACCACCTAGCTTGCACCTCATAGCTCAAACCAGATAGCTCGCTTCATATAACTTGCATCACATAGCTTAGACCGCAAAGCTTTCACCATATAGCTCACACCACACAGCTTACATCACACAGCTCACGCCACAACTATCACCACAATTTACACAACATCGCTCACACCGCATAGTTCTTACCACAGCGCTTACACAACACAGCTTGCACCACGTAACCTACACAAAATCGCTTACATCACATAGCTTGCACACCATAGTGTACACCGCATAAACTGGCACCTCCACAACGCAATTACTCACCGCTTGGGGTCCGGGTCGCAAGATCGGGAATCGTTTCGAAGGGTGGCGGACGGACCCACTGGACCTCTGTGGTCCCCCACTCTGCCGCACTCCACCGATGTCAATTTCCCGGCCCCTGCCTCGACGCCTCAACAAACTCTGAGAAACGACCCTGGCCCAACATACCATAAACGGGGGTGGTCCGAGGAGCCCGTCTTCGCGTGGCGTGCGTTGCCCACTGCCAAACTCTTCGTGGCCTCGGCACGTCCCCACTATGTGTTGCGTTTTCTACTGTGTTGCCTCGATGCTTCGTGGGGGTGTGCTCACGTGCCCACTGCCTCGTCACGCTTGGCCGACTCTGGAAACCCTGAACCTAGAAAAAAACGTTTGTCATCCCGTGGGGGACTCATTCTTACTCCCGCCGGCTTGCTTTCGCCAAGGAAGAGATGACAACTCCCTCGAACCTCGAAGGCGAGGGAGGTCCTTCCTGGATCGCCCCACATCGTGGGCAGCCCAAGGTCCGACTCCGAAGTGCCCACGCTGCCCTTCTGGACACCACGTTGTTCAATTGCGAAACCTCGCGCTCTCTCGCATCTTCCGTGGCAACCGACCATGCCTGCCTTGCGCTCGCTGACGTTCCGCCGCATTGCCCTGTGGGCGTGCCAACTGTCAGATCTTTTGGACGGCGCAATGTTTCAGAGAAACGGAAAAAGCCATAAACATCATTTGCCGGAGGTCCGAGCAGGTCTCTCGGATCGGCGCTGGACCCCCTCCATGGCGCGCGGAACCCACTAGGGGCGGTGTCGACAGGGGGGCCCAGAGCCGAAGAAATCAGCGCGGACCCCCGAGAGATTATGCCTGAGCCGTTTTCTGTTCTTCGATGCTCGCCTGCTTGCGCCGCTGCTCCGCTGCACCTTTGGATGCACGAACAAGGTACGAAACAAATGGGCATGATGCCCAACAACACACGTTGTCCAAAACCGGCAGCGGTCGCTGTTGGGCAGACGGTCTGTGTCCCGTGGGAAACGTCCTCGGCAATACTCGAATCATCCGGAAATGCTGTCGGTCTTCGCACTCCATGGCGCGCGAAGCGCGACAGCGGGGCCGAACGCTGACCCCAGAAATCCGCGCGGACCCCGAGACAGTATGCTTACGACGATTCTGATTGTCCGATGCTGCGGCCCTGCCCCCCTTCTCCATCCTGCCTTCCCCCTCTTCCCCACGCGCCGCACTTCGCTCCGCCTGCGTCCCAGCGCAGCGTGCCCGTAACTCGTATCCGAAGCGCCGCCGACCACACATTGTTCGATGTCTGCCCGCTTGCGCCGTTGTCCCGCTGCGCCCTGCCCCGTTGCCCCGTGGGGACACGGCAGACCCGACCCAGCATGCGGCGCGCCGGCTGCCCGCCTCGCTGCCCACCTGCCCTGCCCCGCTGAACTGCTCGGCGGCGAGCCCGCGGGGTAAGTGAGAAAGAGAAGGTCTTCTCAGAAGGCTCGGAAATCCCCCGGCCTCCTGAGAAGCTTTCTAAGCCTTCCCGGAAGGCACAGAGAACCTCGGAGAAGGTGCGAGGGCTTCCGAGAAGCCCCACCCCCTTCTGAGACGGCCTTCTCCTTCTCACTTCCCCCCGTCGCTCGCCGCCGAATTGTGAAACGTTCCAACTTGCGCGATCGACGGCTTTTCGATCCCCAGATCGTTTCATATCGGCTGATTCTGGGACGCTGGCGGCGTTCATCCTTGAACGCCTGCGCTGGAATCGCCGACGCGTCGACACGACACGAACCTGCCGTACCAAGTCTGCTCCAGAGGCCCTGGACCATCACAACATGGAGTCTTCTTGAGTATGCCCCAACGGCCTCGATCGCGACGAAGAAGTCGCCGCAGGAGGCCGCCGGCAGGTCGCCGACAACAATGTTGCTGAAACGGATGGGTATGGGCACCTGGGCCGTAGCTCACGCTCACGCGCAACGCTCGCGCGCAGCAGTGGCAACTGTCTCACGCGCGGCCATCATGCTCACGGGCAGCTCACGCGCAACACACACTCACACCTGCAGAACCGTCGCAACGCTCACGCGCAGCAGTGCCTTTCTTCTGGCTCGGGCAGCACGTCTGGGCCACGCTGCTCGCTGCACCCTTTGCTCCCTTAGCGCCTTTGAGCCTCGCGCCGACGGGTGACTGCATGTGCACACCTGCAGGCCGCCGAGGTGGGGCCCGAGTAGATGGGTTCGGAGGATCGCGCTGCATCGTCCATGCATCAGCGCTGCGGGGCAATCCGCCGACCCCATGTACTTCGCCCCTTCTTGGGCGGCCTAGATCGTCAGGCTCTGATGCAGAGACAGGTGGTCGGCTGCGAGCAGGGGCGGAAGTGTGAAGGAAGCGGCCTTCTCAGAAGGCGGCAAGGCTCCGTGTATTCGGGGAAAGCTGAGAACACTTCTCAGAAGGCCCGAGGATTTCTGGGCCTTCTGAGAAGGCCCGCCCCTTCTCACTTCCACCCCAGGCTGGCCGCCGAGATGGGCCTGCAGCCTCAGCGGACGAAGGTTCGAGGCCCCCAGGCCACAAGCCCCTCCCTCGCCAAGCCCGTGCGGGCGACTGTCAGGAAGGCGGACGAGTGTGGCTGCGATGCCGACGGCGACAACCGCGATCACGAACACGGCGGCGGACAGCGACGGCGGTAGGCACGACTGCGACAGACGACGGCGATCACGAAGACGACGGCGACAGGGACTGCGACGACGGGGGCGGTGACGACGGCGACAGCGGCGACGGCGACGATGGTGGCGGCAACGGCGGCGCTGGCGGCGGCGGGGTGCGCGAGCCAGCTGGGGGCGGCACCAGGCCGAGCGTCTGCCCCAAGACCCGCTTGAGGTTGCGGCCGCGGAGGCCCTTGTGCCAGAAGCACAGGCAGACGCTGAGGTACCTGCCGCCGCGGCCCCCTGAGATTAGATCCGCTATGTCCTCCTACAGGCGGATGTTGGAAGAAGCAGAAGAAGTAGCCAAACCATACTCCAATATAGTCCAGCAATACTCGAAAACTCGTCCCAAGACGATGTTTGAATAGTTTTGAATATTCCTCCTGTAGAGTGGCATGCCCGACTTCAGCCTACGGAGGAGGAGGACGGAGGTGGAGGCCGCCTATCTCCTTTTCCTCCTCCTCCTCCTCCTCGAACACGGGCAGGCGCTATTGCACACGCCAGCCCCTTCGAGGAGGCCCTTCCGCTCCCCTTCCTCCACTTCCTTAACTATCCTCCTTCTCCTCCTCCTCCTCCTCCTCCTCCTCCTCCATTCGGTGAGAAAGTGCAAGTTGTTTGCCCATGTTTGACCCTCTCGCTGAATATAGAGGCCTGGGGACGTCCTCCTCCTCCTCCTCCTCTTCCTCCTCCTCCTTGTTGTCCTTCTTTCTCCTCCTACCTCCTCCTCGTTATTATTCTTCCTCCTGCTGCTGCTGCTGCTCCTCCTCCTCCTCCCCCTCCCCCTCCTCCCCCTCCTCCTCCTCCTCCTCCTCCTCCTCCTCCTCCTCCTCCTCCTCCTCCTCCTCCTCCTCAATGCCCGGCGGCGGCCAGCGGTGTGCCACTGCAGCAGCGGCCTGCTGGGCGCCGGGGACTCGCCCGACCTGGGCGCGGTGCTGCGTCGTGGGGCGGCGCCCGTCGCGGAGTCGCCGGCGTGCTTGCTGAGCGCGGCGCATGCGGCGCGCTGCGGCAGGAGCGCGTTTACTTGGGGGTCTGTGTTCCTATTTCCCCCTCCTTGGTAGCGCGCACCGTGGGGCGGGGGGAGGAGGGAGGGCTTCTGAGAGGGAGGCTGCTTCCAAGAATCCCTCCCCCCTCCCCGCAGCCCCTAATCAGTTGCGGCAGTACTTATATCCCGCAGGGCAGGGCGGGATATAAATACTGCCGCAACTGATTTTGAGCTTCGAGTTCCATCGCTGCGGTCCCTCAAAGTCTTGAGGGACCCCAGACAGCGCTGTGGGGCTTGACGCTTCCTCTCAGACGAAGCCAGGACGAGGATGAAATCGGGTGGGGATACATCGAGAATCTCTGAGATGCGGCGGCTCTGAAGGATATATCGGGCGCCGTGGCCTTCTCAGAGCGTTCTGGAAAGCTCTGAGAGTGTTCCAGAACGCCATGGAACGGAGTTATCCTCGTCATAGCCCCTTCCGACTTGATGTTTCCTCCTGCTGAATCGATCCGATCCCCCCCCCGTCTGCGCGTGGCTGACATCCGACTGTGGGTCCCAAAACCGTGTGGTGACAGACCGGCGGTGACCTCGGAATCCGCAGAGACCTCATCAGGGTCCGTCACCATACGGTTTTAGGACCTATGAGGCACCAATCGCCCGAGACATCCTCGGAGAACGACCCAAGCCCCAAAACCCTGCGGTGACACATCCTCGGAGAACGACCCAAGCCCCAAAACCGTGCGGTGACCCCGAATCGAGGACACGTAAGACCTGGGTTCGGGGGACTCGGGTTGGCCTGATAGGGCCACCATGAGAATGACGAGACCCAATCTGAAGGTTGACACGAGCTCCCGCTGCAAACATTCCACGAAAACTAGACCGCCAAAATCCAGGACGCGCTCGCCAAAAAGCGTCGGCAAACCTGAGTTCTGGTGTACTCGAATCTGACGTTTCCCCGACCGAATCCCCACCAACTGACCTCACCGGCCCTCCTCTGGCGGCCGCTTGGGACGATCCGGGCACCCACGGAACGCTCTCGGCGAGGCGCAGCTGCTGGAACGCATCCGGAGGCAGAAGACCCCCCTAACCGGCGAAAACATCAAAAATCCTGAATCTTCACCGATTCCCCTCCACCTCCACCTTCCTTACCTTCCGACCTCCGCGGAAGGTGTGGAAGAATTCATCGAAACTCATATAATCCTCGCGCAATTCAAAGGCACCCACACAAATCGTATCGAAAAAAAAACGGAAAATGAAGGCGGAAGGTCCGGAAGAATGAGGGGGAAAGCTGCAACCGACGAAAACATCCGAGAAACTCGAATCCACACCGACTCACCGCGCGGTGTGGTCACTTCCGCCCTGACCTTTCGCCCCTTTTTGGATATGATCTACGTGGGCTTCCTTGAATTGCGCAGAATGCTTCCATGACTTTCGACGAATTCTTACGCACCTTCTGCAGAGGTCGGAAAGTATGGAAGGTGCATGTGGCGCGGGTTGCCAAAGGTGCCCCTGGCTGAGACGAAGGCAGAATTCTTTAGCCCCGAAATTGACTTGTCGCCGAATCTGCCAGAACTGCATAAGATGCTCCGTATATGTACGAGACATTGTTTTGTAGGTTTGGCGTGTCCATCAATTTTTGGGTTAATCGATTCTGTAGTCGATCCCCTCTTTGAATGGGGCGCGGGTTGCTAAAGGTGCCCCTTGCGGAGACGAAGGCAAAATCGGGACAAAATTGGACCGACATAAATCGGACATCTCTGATAATCGGCGGGTTTGGAAGATGTGTCAGGCGCCGCGGCCGTTCCGGAACGCTCTGGAACGGGAACGAAGTTATCTTCGTCCCAGGTCGGGGGTTGCTCAAGGTGCCCATAGCCCAAGGCGCCCCCAGCTTCTCGCTCCATGTGGGAGCCCCTGGGGCCCTCTGGGCCTCGTGAGGGGTGCTCTGGAGGCCGTGGGGGCCTCCATGGAAATCCTGGGAGCACCTTGGGCCAGAGGCAATCCTAGCACCCAACCGAAAACGGTGAAGAGCCGCAGGTCGCTGCAACCTGCGGTCGGCGGCGGATGCAAACTCTGGCACGTTTACCTGCGCGGCGTTTTCCCGCCCCCCCTTCCCTCGGCGGCGAGCGAGGGGGGAAGTGAGCCTTCTCAGAAGGCGGCGGGACTTCGCAGAAGCCGTCGCGCCTCCTGAGAAAATTTCTGTGTCTCCAGGGAAGGCTTAGACGCCTTATCAGAAGGCCGGGGGACTTCCGAGCCTTCTGAGAAGGCCTCTCCTTCTCACTCCTCCTTCTTGGGTTTTGGAAGACAAATGTCCAAGAGCGAGAACACATTCAAATATAGTCGAAACATAGTCCGAACATCTTCCCCAAACTATGTTTTAAAATCTTCTTGGTAGAGAGACCTGCCCGACTTAAACCTGGGGGGAGGGGGGGCGAAATGCTGGGACGAGGGCGTCCCAACTTGCGTGAAGCTCAGGTGTCCTGTCGGGCCTCGTGGCGATCCCCCCCCCTCCCCCCCCCCCTTCGGAGTGGAGCGCGCCGAGTCCGCCAACCAGCCTCCGACCAGCGGGCCCCCCCTGAGGAGCAGCGCGGGCGGGCCAAAGCCCCTCATATGATGTAGTCGTTGCAATGCTGGGGAGGGATATCCAATGATTCGGTGGCAAATCATGGGAGCATCCCATACCATCTTATCGGCTCTTGCGAATCGACGCGAATCGTCGCTAGTCGACGCTGATCGACGCTACATGGACGCTAATCGACGCAAACCGATGCTACATCGGCGCTATCTGATCGACTCCCAGACGCTAATCGACGCTAAAGATATAATCATAAGGATATCCAAGGCTCCCATGATTTGCTACTGATCAATGGCACCCGAATCGATACAACGCCTACGGTTGCTCGTGAGCACGATGCAAGCCAACTCGGGAATCGATACCCCAAATAGGGAAACGAACTCTATACACCGACGTTTTTTCCGGCCCTGCACTGAAATTTCCACAGGATAACGGATCCTGGTGAATACGGGATCCTAGTGTATCAATGTTTCGCTATTCCCCCGGAAACGTAACAACAACGTATACACCATACCACCCCGACGTCGCCCCCGACTCTCAAAAAGTCATGGGATGGAAAAACAGCCCGGCACTGGTAATGTATATGCTCCAGTTTCCGACCTGGCTCCATGCAAGTTGGAGGCGGCTGGGGGGTCAGAATTGGACGGGCCCTGAGAAAGCCGACCAAAATGGGCTCTGAGAAATCCGCTCCACATCTGTCCCTGGACCCCTCCAAGGAGCCACCTGGTGTAGTTTTTCGCCCCAGATCCACTTGTTCTTGGAAAGTCCCAGGGTCCGAAGATGGCTCCCGAAGACCCCCAAAAAGACAAAACGCCTCCCCGAACCCGACGCCCAATGCTCGGCCCACGCAGCCCCCTTGGCCTGGCTCCGGAATGCAAACTAACTTGCCAGAGCCGAGAAAGAACATGAAGGGGCACCAGGACACACAAATACATACACACAAATAAAAGGATTCCCCATAATTTCATATATTTTCTGGGTTTTTGTCTTCCCCCCCACTTCCCATATTTTCGCATATTTTTCTGGGGAATCGACGATTAATTGTGTCTGTGTGTTTCTTTCCCTCCTTCGAACAGTCGGGCCACGAAGAACGGGTCTCAGGCGAGATGGCATGGCGACCTTACGCGGTGGGCCTACGCGGGCCGCCCGCGCAGCACGCTGCATGGGCCGTGGGGGAGACGAGGGCGCTGACGCGCGACCTTACGCGGGCAGCTCGAGAGGAGCCCCGGCACAAATCTAAACTTTCGGCGCTCCGCGCAGATCTCGTGGGTCTGAGCTGGACCCCCCCTCCTTGGCGCGGAGTGCGCCTGGGGCGGCGCTGGAGGCGCCGCCAGGAGGGCTGCAGCGCCGATCCGAGAAAACCGCGCAGACCGTCGACAGTTCATTCGTGTGTGCCGTTTTTTCGTCTTCGATGTCGGTGCAGATGACTCCGTTTTGTCAACAGCTCAGTGGCCTCCAGGGGGCCCCTAAGCCTGCTGGGGCAGCGGGCGCGACCTCCCTCTCCAGAGGCGCGGGCGACGGCCGCGGGCGGGGAAGTGGTGCTGAGGGGTGCGCCCAGGGCGCCGGACGGCAAAAAGCCGACGGGCAGGTGGAGCCGTGTGAGGAGCGCGCGGCCGGGCAACCCTGCGGTGAGCCACGCGATGACCCGGACATGAACTTTCGGAGGTCGGCGC